AAAAGAAAATATCAGATAACCTTGTAAAAACATCAAAATGCATAATAAATCAGTAAATCGTCATTTACTAATTTGTTATTGATCTTAGTTTCTTAGCTTTATATAATGGTTGGGAATAAGATAATAGTCTAGAAATTTGTATTAATGCTTCTTTTATCATTTTACAAAATATCTTTGCATATTTCCACAATGTCTCTATTTTTTACAATATTTCCCCTCGACATTTCTGACATTTCCGACATATGTCCTATATTTTGGTAAGCGACATTTCCATCGACATCGACATTTTAAACCTTGCTCTGTACAATGAGTAGCTGTACAAAAAAGGACCTAAAAAAAAAGGCCATCCTCAAAAAGTATAATCAGAAGTATTGTCTCTGAATCCAGTATGTATAGACATCCAGCTTCTAATAGCCTCTATAACCGAGTTAATGACCTCAGCTTCAGTAGAAGATTTGTTTTTGAAAACCCTATTGTTTCTTTCTGACCACACAAGCCCAAAGAACTGCCAAGAGGGATGGAAGACCAGCAGATCTTTCCTTTCTTGGGCAGCCCCTGTAGATGCCATTCCTCCAACAGAGCTTTAACTGAGGCTGGCCTGCACCAACTTAGATTCAGAGCTTTCAAGAAGTGAGTCCAAACTGCAGAGCTAAACTTGCAGTGGAGGAATGCTCAGAGCTCTCAAAGCATGGCAAATTATTGGCTACACAGGCTTAAGGAAGAAAGAATATCACAAACTTCCAAGTATTGCATGAATCTTTTTTTTGATGGGAAGGTTTGCAAGAATCATTTGAAACAGCAATGTAATGGAATCAAACACATATGCAATATTGAAGGAATTGTGGTGGATCCTTGAACTCTATTTTACTGCCATCCCTCCCAATCAAAATCCAGTTATCCAACCAACCTGCTACGACTCATCCACCAGAGTGTCAAAGAATTCTTTTTTCCCCCTTGTTTGATGAATTGCCACAGTCAGAATTCTTCAATCTGGACCTTTTTCTCCTGATTTTCCTCAGAAACTCCTGGGAAACTGTTTTCTTCTCAAATAATCATGAAAGCAATATGGATTAGTTCCCAAGAAAGATGTGCAATAAAAAATAAATAAAAGCTTCTTCTGATATTGTGAGAAGTAATTGCATGGATCATGGATATGGCATGGCGATGTCTGTGAACTTGTAAGCAGTCAACTGTGATAAAAAATTGCATCTTTAGAGATCACTGAGCTCTATGATACCAAGTAATAAATTAGGGTTTTCTGTAAGAAGATATAAGACGGAAGAAGATAACCAAGTGGTAGAAAGATAAATGATTGGGGAGAATGAAATAAAGGCCACACCCCTCACTTCCCACCTTTTATTACTGATGATAAAGAAGTGTAAGAGTACAAATACCTCAAGAGATAGCCAACCAAATAACTAAACACACATACCGACAACAGCAGTGCATGACCAGTCATTTGATGACTGTTTTATATGGATGCTAAAGTAAACTTGTGTTTTTATTTCACTTCCTTATTTCTACCCCTCATTTTTTCCTCCCTGTACTAGGATGACTTGTTGTACTTTGTAGCTTTGTTGTGCATTTTGGAAAAGTAATAATAGGTACATGCTTTTGTTAAAATATGATTGCTTGTTCTTTCTTAATTGGCTTGGAAAGTAATATGATTGATGCTCACCTCTGTCACTCATTTTCATGTCAGGGTGATTCCTCATCGTCGAACTCAACCAGAGGCTTATAGACTCTATCTTGAACTTCTCAGCCGATATGCTTTGTTCCTTGCTCCAGTGGGAACAAATCCCTGCAGGGAGAAGTGAGCATTTTTATTTCATTTGATCCAAGTATCAATGAGGGTTAAAAGTTCCAGCTAGAGAAAATGTCTTCTCTTTTTAAGTAAAATATTCTTCATTTAATTTCCTTAGGAGTTTGAAAAGGTATTAAAAATGCCATTGAAATTTCCAATATTTTGAGATTTCATTTAGGTTTCAATTGTAAACAGAATGTAATCTATGAAAAATATCTCATGTGTTTTGTTTCTCTTTAATGAGATCTAGTTATCTTCTCTCAAAAAAAGGGAAGAGGCTTCAGTGATAGGATTAGAACATTGAAAGATAAAACACAACAAAGGGAAAGCAGAAAATAACTGTAGAAGTGTCAGAAGGAATAGATATATTAATAATTGTCAAGTCCTCTGATGTAATCTTGCCAATTTTTCTGTAGAATTCTGGTCTCTAGCCAGGTTGAAACCTGGTATGAAATTGAAATTTAAAACCTTGAATTTAGATGGTTCTATAGATATAAATGACTACATCTTGCACATAATAAAGCAATATTTAATCAACTGAGCATTGATGATAATATATTATGCAAGTAAAAGAAGAATTTCATATCTATGTGCTGTTAATTAGATGTCTTGTAGCTTTTAATTCAAATATATAAAGTATCTTCTTATATTTCCTAGATGAATTATTTTCTCTTTTTCTCCTTATGTATTATCCCTAATATTATGTTTTAGTGCCAGACTTCATTATATGCTGATAATATTTATATTTATTTCCTAAGAGCTGACCCCATATAGTTGGGATAAGGCATGGATGATTATTTATATTTATTTTAACTTTTGTCATTTCCATGCATATCGTGATGAATGCCTCAGAAGTGGCTGATCTATACTCAGTGATAATGATTCTATGAACTGTTCTTGGTTCTGAATTCACTCCAGTTCATGTTGGTAGTATCTGAATCATGAAACAGAGGGTGCATGCTTGCTATGTCCTATGATATTATAAAACTCAAAAATGCTAAATAAGAACATTATAATGCTTTTTTTTTCCTTTCTTGTACCCAGAAAGTTAGGCAAGGGATGATTGGAAGAAATGTAAAAATGCCCAGTAATATGCCATTACATCACCACTTGAACCTAGTTATTCTCATGCATTTTCTTCTTTTGCAGGATTGTAATATCTGTTGATGATGCCCTAGAGCTTTCAAAGAATTATGGGTTTCATGTAGTGGAGTTTGGACAGGCAGTAGTGCTATTTCTATTTACTGTCATAATCAATTTAATTGACAGCACAATGGATGATTGGGGTTTGCAACCTGCATCAGTTGGCAAAATCAGTGGCTTATTTGGAGGTGGAGAACACCAGGACATGGATATAGATTCTAAAGGGAATCAAAATGACAAAAGAAGGGAACACTGTGAACTGCTAAAGAAAACAAATGCTTTTATGACTATGGAAGTGTTGGGAAAACTGACTGAAAACAGAAAAGTGATGGTTCTACTTCGTCTTGTCCACTTGAACATGTATGTGGTCGCCATTCTCTTTCTAGTGCCTTTTCAGGTGTAGAGCATATAATGTTCAGTTTTGCTCTTGTTAAAATTTGCCCCTTTGTTAGATAAATTTGAATCTCAAGTACATAGTGGTACTTAATCAGAATCCAGAAACTAATAAAAGCCTGATAGAGCATCTAGGAATGAAATCTAGGTATGGCAAATTTCCCCATTTCCCCAATCCCCATGGGTACCCGCCTTGAATGGGGTGGGGATGAGGATGATTTTCCCCCGTTGGGACAGGGAAAATCATTTTATAGGGATAAAATGAAATAGGGAAAATCATTTCATTTGAATCTATTTTAATAAGATTGCAAATTGTAACTATTTTATTTAAAAAATTTTGCAATGAAATAGGGATAAAATAAAATGAATTCGACATCATAAAAAATGGTGGGGAGTGGGGATCCCCATGGGAGCGGGGACAGGGGGGAGCGGGGACAGGGATAACCCTGTCCCTGTTGGCAGGGACGGGGACAGAGATTTTTGTGGGGATAGGACTAGGGAGTGGCTCCCTGTCCCCGCCCCTCCTTGTTGCCATTCCTAATGAAATCTGTAGATCGAAGAATCATGTTAATTTTGGATTAGAACCTCTCATAGATTACATTCATTTGGATGATGGATACTGCACCTTTAATTTTATACCATTTGTCCTGAATACTGATATTCTGCTTATTATGGTACTTTCAATTCTAAATAACAGAGCTTCCTCATGCTGTTTGAACTTTGAAGAATAAATTGTTAGTTTTCATAGTTGATGATAGCTTTTCTCTTAGAGATTATTGATCCCCCTCCAAGACATCCTTCTAAGAAAGGTGTACACATTCTGTTATGTGCCTTAGGAGAACTCACCCCTAAAAGCTAGCTGTTAGAGGGAGGAAACCCAAACACATATATACCCCACAACAGCATCCCATTGTACCGATGTGGGATACCTCACATTAGCATCCCATACTACCAACATGGGACAAATGGATCGTAACATATTCCCTTGGTTGATGAGTAGGTTGCAGGTTTGATGGCAGCTCTCTGGAATGCTGAGCCACTGGGTAGGATGGATTTTCCTTGATGGAGATATCATTTTTTTTGGATATTTAGTGGATAATTGGAGACACTGGCTCAACCAAGATACTGATGTAGTTTGTTATTTAGTAGCAAAATAAAAATTAAATAAACTCACAACAGGATTCAAGTAATGTAAAGCAAAGAGAGGAGAAAGAAAGAAGAAGAGAGATAGGAGGGTGAAGACGGATCATGGTTTCTAGTCTTTCCCATGATTTCTTTTATTAACTATCATAACTAAAGGGGAGATTGCTGCAGTTCTCCCATATAGGCAGCATATTAAATGATGAAATAAGCAACTTAGTAGCTTAGCCCATAGGTCCACTAATGAAAGAATAAAATTTGACCAACAATAATAAATAAAAATATCAACTAAACAGCAATAAAAGCAATATGTCTCTTTTGTAGGCTGCAAGTAGTGAGATCATTTATCACCTACTCATCTCCTGTCCTTATGCCACTAGTATGTGGAAGCATTCTTGGTTGGTTTGGTTCCTAGTTGTTCTGGCCTTCTAATGTGGAGAGTTATTCAAGTCTTCTTCCATCTCCATCTCTTCAAGTACATAAAGGTAGAGGATCATATGGATATGTTCACAGGGTGTTGTTCTTTTGGTGGTATTGGAAACACAGATTTTTTTTTTTCAGGTTAAAAAGTGACCTCTGGAAGTTCGGATTGACCTAATCACCATCAGGATGGTTCATTGGATCTGCACTGAAGAAGAATTCAGAAGTTCTAGGCTTATAGCATGGATGACATGGTAAGGAACCAAGGAATTCGAACATGGTGGCATCTCATCAAGTTAATAGAGTCATAGTGGCCCAAGAATGGGCTACAATTATTGCCCAGTTCCAATTGACAATGGAAATTCTACAAATAATGATCTAGCATTTCTTTTACAAGGTCTCAGATTAAATCTATGTTGGTTTGCATATCCTTGGAGGTGAAAGGGGATCCTCAAGCTGTGACCAAGTAGATGTTGGAAAGAGGTCTGTTGACCATTTTTTTATTGATAAATTAGAATTTTATTAAAACTGAATAAAAGAATCGGTATGCACAATATGTCCAGCACCCCTTTTACTAGTAGGCTAGCCTCAGCCATCTAACCACAACTCTTGTTTTTCACTCCCTTGTCTGGCTAGGGTATCTTTCTAGGCACCAAGCCATTGGCTGGTTTTTAAAGAGCAGTTTTGTCCCCAAGGACTTGTCTTCCATCAGTTTACAAGCCTTGGTGGAATTACTTCCAATGCTCAAAAGCTGGTCCACTTATACATCCTCCTCCACTTACAAGTCTTCCCAATCACTATTGGCATCTAAATCTTCTCCTTGATCTCTACAGTATTTCAGATTTGGCTTATCTGGGTGGGGTCATGGCATTCTCAACCAAGGTAAAGCCAAAGGTTTTGCTACCAAAATTCTTTCTACCTGACTTTGGATGGGCATCCCTGGGACTTTGCCTTTCCATCAAAGATTGACAAGGGGCCTTTCAACTTCCATTTTCTTCCAAGAGGGGAAACGACTGAGTTACCTTCCTGAAATGTTTTCCTTCCTCCTATGCCAGACCTCCATGTGTACAAGCAGCATCCATGTCACCATCATCTTCCTCCAAAGCTCCCTTCCAGAGCTTGGCTTCCAAAGACGACAGAAGCCAGGCTTTGTAGGTGACACCTTCAACGCTAACCTCCACCATTCTAGGGATGGTTTCAGGGTTGATCCTTAGCAGTTTCAACATCACCACTCTAATCTTTGTTGCATCCAGGTCTTCAAGAATACCCCCACAGAGATTATCAATCTTCTTGAACGTTTTTTCTGACCAAACATGGAAGGGGAGCCCTACCACTTTCACCAAAGGGACTCCCTCAAGGATAACCATGTTGGAGGCAAGATTCCATTTTCCGATGACCACCAAGCTCTCTTCCATTTGGATTTGGAGAGCATGAATGGTGAGATACCGCTCACCTCGGAAGCCCCTTCGAGGGTGGCTTAACCTCC